CGGAATGTTGTGGCTTGATAGGGCCCTTGGAAAAAGCATTATGCAGCGCCTGCTCAGGGTAAGCGGAATTCCGTCCTGCCAGGCGCAGTAATCCTACTCGTCTTGGGGGATTTATCGTGCCAACTGCCTTTAAGTGGAAGTAGAGTACGTGCCGCATCCCAAAAAGAGATTGAAGAGCGGTGGAAGCTTTGTCGTTTCAAGAGCTGTATTACAGTTTTCCTGTGGGGATATCCTGAGTAGAACCAACTTCCCCGAACGTTTTCTTTTGAATCAAGAAATGTGGGTGGATATGGCATCATATGACAAAAAAGGGATAAGAAATGCATGTCTCGCAACTGCACAACATGCACAGCCAATTCCATGAATAACTCCATCTATTAATAATGGCGAAAGTTACCCGAAATGACACCTTCCTGTGTTACGAATTGTTCAGCGGTTCATCAAGTATAGATTATTGACGAACTTGTCATTCAAAAAAAACCTGCAGATGCTCCTAGTTCCTCTGCTGAAGTGATCGAGGAGACCGAGTTTGATATACAGAGTAAAGAGGATAGAGCATAAGCTGCAGAGCGAGCTAAAAACGAGTTCGGGATGCGCCACGCATATTACTTTGGTACTAAATCATGGCGAATTTCGGATGCGGTTCGTGACAATGACTTGCGGAGACCAGTCTGTAAGCAGTTCGTGTTCTAAATCCCCAAGGTTCACATTGTACCAGGTAACTATGAGTTTATGAAAGGTTAAAGGCAAGAGGAACGACAAATCGAAAACGAGTAGAAGGTCGACACGCCTACCACGAAAGAATATTGTGCCCCTTAGCAAGCGCTGCGTGTTTTCCAACCAAGGGCAACATTATAGCGCCTAATCAAGGTGGAACATGCCGATCCACATGCCCACCGCAAAACGGTCCATTGACGCTGGTGCTCTTATCGCTTTATTTATGAAGTATTAGGCTGGAAAGAAAGTCCTGTCAGTGTTTTTTGAATAGCTTACAGTTTTCGATTCTTGATGCCTGAACATGACGTTAAATGTTGCGCTTGTAGAACAATCTCGAAGCTTCCCCGCAAGCAGGGTACAGCATCGTGATGTGTGAAGTGGTCGTCTAGGTACGACCCTCCCCACCCCCTTCCTCAACACCTACTTACCCCAATTTCCCCCTATTTTCCAGTCCAGTTTTTCACCCAAAAATTCCCGTCGAGCGGGCGGTGGTGGGGGCATGCAGTACACATGAAAAAGGAAAAATCACATAAAATCAAGAACCGGGAAATTTTTCCCAACGCAGCAAATTTCTCTTGAACGCACATACGACCACTCCCTCCCGACGACCAAGTACACCCCCCCCCGTCCCCAGCGGAAAACTAGGACTCCCCCATGCGTTTCACACACTGG